GGTTGCCTCATGATCGGAGGGTCATGGGTTCGATTCCAGCTCCCGCCAGGGGTATCCTGCTGTTGTGTCCTTGGGCAAGACACTTCACCCAACTTGCCTGTGTTAGTGGTGGTCAGAGGGGCCGACGGCGCCAAATGGCAGCCTCACCTCTGTCAGACCTCCCCAGGGCGGCTGTGGCTACAAGTAGCTTACCATCACTAGCAGTGTGTGAATGTGAGAGTGTGTGAAAGCGTCTTTGGGTGTCTAGAAAAGCGCTATATAAGTTCTATGCATTATTATTATTATTATTATTGTTATTATTTACCTGCTAACTCTTCTCTAAAGTGCTGGCGCTGCTGTAACAAGCGGATCTCCCCGCTGAGGGATCAACAAAGTCTATTCCATCCTTCAGGTGAGAGGACAGCGAGTTCATCAGGTGGATCAGGAACATCAAACTCTGATGACTCAAGGGGCGGAGCAGGAGGAGGGGCTTAGATCCAGTTCACATGAATAAAGCTCTGACTACGTGTGTGTGTGTGTGTGTGTGTGTGTGTGTGTGTGTGTGTGTGTGTGTGTGTGTGTGTGTGTGTGTGTGTGTGTGTGTGTGTGTGTGTGTGTTACCTTCACCCCCTCAGCTTGTGCATGAAGAATGTGCACTGCACTGCCAGCACTCTGACCACTGCCTGAAGATCTCACACTGGTCACACTTCCAGGGCTGCCGACGCTGCTGCGATCTCCACCTGCAACACACACACACACACACACACACACACAGCGACATGCGTGCACACACATGCGCACAACAACATAGACGTGCAATCACACACCCATGCAACCACCCAAACAGTATTCATCCATGTTGTCCAGACAAATGCACGCACACACACACACACACACACACACACACACACACACACACACACACACACACACACACACACACACACACACACACGGGCTGGTTTAGCTTCTATCCAAAGGTACGCTGCAGCAGGCGTGACTCTCCTCTGAAATGCACTGGGCAGCTCACGGTTGGGTGGACATGATGGACGCACAGACACGTTCATGACCAACACAAACGTGGAATAAAGACATGCCGTTCACACACACACACACACACACACACACACACACACACACACACACACACACACACACACACACACACACACACACACACACACACACACACACACACACACACACACCTGTCACTGCTGCTTCCCTTGGCCCTGTGGCATTGATCTTCCCTAAATGGCAGCATCCCAGCACAACCAGTGTGAAAGACGCTCACTCACACAGACTAGACCAATGCAGATGCCTGCCGTCTACACACCAGACCTCTGAGGTCAGCTAAGCTGCAGATGGAGGGTAAGCAGGACATGGGAGACTGTCGGGAGCAGGTCAAATAGTATCTGAGAGCCCTCCAGCACCATCATCTCCTGGGTGAGGTGTTTGTGGCTGCACACATCAGCAGGTAGACGAGACGCAGCTGACGGACGTCAGATACTGTTTGGCCCTGGCCAGACGGTAAGAGGCTGAGGGCTCAGCGCAGCGCGGCTTAGTTACCTGCCACGGGCTTGCGCAGAACCCAGATCTCTTCGTTGGAGCCTCCATGGGGCCCGCTGGATGGGGTGGGAGAACTGTGAGGACTCGCCTCCGAGCCTCGACAACCTTCAACACAGAACACCACGGTTAACCGCTGAGCGAGCCTCGAGCGGCCCAACAGTCACATCAGACCAGCAGCTGCTGACTGGTCGGTTTTAGGGTTAGCCTAGTTATTGACGATGCTCGTGTTTCCTCAGTCGAAGGTCACGGTTGCTTAGCAACGGCATGTTTAAGAGAACTAAATGACACGACTGTGTGCGGTAACTATTTCTGCTTTCTGCTCTGAAGTTTGGATTGTTGTCTCCTAGAACGAGTTTCTACGTTTGGGACGTTTGGTGTGATGTTTAGGTCATCTGACTCTTTTCTTCTCTGAATCTAACGTTACAGCTCAGCTGTGGAAACAAACTTCATCTCAGAAAGCTCTTTAAATGTGAAATTACTGCAGATTCTTGCTGCATGTGAGGAAGTGTGTGGTGAAAATGAGAAATAAACCCGCTGTCATGACCGCAGGAGGGTTCACGGTCAGCTTCAGTCTTCACGCGTCGTCACATTTTCTCATGCTTTACTTTTGTTTCCTGCTAACGAGAAAAAAATCCAAATTCGTGAAGATTTTTGCCTTTAATTTGTGGAAAATGAATTCATAAATTTCACACGTCGGACGTTTTCTCACGTAAATACTAACGATAATCCGGAGTTTGAGCCCGGCGGCTTTTAAACCAGAGGAGAGATGAAACTAACAGCTGAAACGGTACGGAGGAACGAGTTTACCTCTTTCATCTTCCCCAACACACACACACACACACACACACACACACACACACACACACACACACACACACACACACACACACACACACGCACGCACACACACACACACACACACACACACACACACACACACACACGCACACACACACACACACACACACACACACACACACACACACACACGCACGCACGCACACACACACACACACACACACACACACACACACACACACACACACGCACGCACGCACATACACACACACACACACACACACACACGCACGCACGCACGCACGCACGCACGCACATACACACACACGCACGCACGCACAGAAGAATACAGCGTAAATAGATATATGACAACATTTATATACTGGTAGTACATAAATACATTACACAGAAGCCTGTGTACATACACATATATACTATAATGTACACACACACACACATATATAATACATCCATAAGTGTGAGATTATATATGTTGGACTGGTCAGAATGAGGCTGGAGTGCATTTGGAGAGTCTTAAACCATTATAACCATCACTGGTTTCATAATGGTTCACGCTGGTTTTCCCCACAGCTCCCCCTTCAGGCCGTTTTGTGTCCCTACAAGTCACCTCAGCAAAATTCTTCTTTCTCAACCAGAATGATAAAGATTTCGTGAAAACGCCCGAGCTGAAGAGATTTTTACTAAACCTTCTGTCTGTTGGGGGTTGTTCCTTCTTGTGGGCGTGGCTAACCAGGTTCCCAACAAGTCAGTGATCAGCTTACCTGTAAGCACACCTCGTAACCTGTTTTAGCAGGTTTTAACTCTGGTATTTTACACGTTCATGAACCCAAAGTAACGAAACTACAGCTGAGTTTCAGATGCAGAAGCAGAAAGCATCACCCATCACCTGACCTCAGCTTCACCTGGTCCATTAGGTCTGCTGAAACCACTCTAGTGTCTGGAACAAACGCCACAGGTCAGCTGGGATCTCCTCAGGTTTTACACACACACACGCACGCACGCACACACGCACGCACACACACACACACACACACACACACGCGGGCGGGGTATGAGGGGACTGTGTGGAGCAGGAAGTGATGATATTCAGGGAAGAACATGGAGGAAAAGTAAAAAAGGAAATTCTGATGTTTAACTGAATAAAAAAACAAAAAGAAAACAGAACTTTTCTGTTTCTGACTGTAAAGAAATGATCTGAGATCCAGTTTCAGCTTCTGGTGAACCGGTCCAGCCTGAGACAACAGGGTCAAATGGTAGCTCCTGGTTGTGTTAATCTGCTGAGTCATGGTTGGACGGGTTAGTCACCACATCATGACGGCCCCCTCTTGACCCTCATTATTCATCATGAACAGGAGTAACGCCATAAAAGCTGCCAAAGGGACATTTCAGCCCTGTTGACGACGTTTATCCATCATACAGCTTCCTGAATGGCCTCAGTTCAGATAAATAGAGGAACTATGAGCAGTTTGTCCAACATGGCTGCTTTCCCAAAAAGGCTTTCCTCGTGACATCATTAGGACCCACACACTGGTGGGGGATGAAACTGGTCCTAAGAAGGCAGCGATCAGCTGGGATTCTGAGCTTATCTGATCCAAACGGCGGCTGATTGGACGTGAACGTATTAGTGACCTCTGGAACCAGCTCCCATCTCACCGGGGTTCCAGTCTGATAAACGTTCCCGCCGCTGGGACCGAGATTCACCAGCAGGAAAATAAACGTAGCACTTCCAGCCAATCAGAGGCTCACATCTGACAGGAAGTCCTTCACTTTCCTACCAAAATAAAGTAACGACCAACCGACTGCAGTGAAAGGGGTTTAATAACTGATGATTTAGAAACAGACCAGTGCCTTTTAAAGACGCTGCGCATTCCCAAGGTCCAACAGTCTTTATGGAAATGTAATATTTACAGCGAATCTCTGCAAATGAACCAAACGGCTCCACAAGTCTTTGGTTTTAGGATGCAGCAGTCCACCTGGGTGTGAACTCGAGCGAGTCATCGGGTCATCAGTCCTGCAGGACGAGAACGTGTCTCTCTGAGGACATTCAGGGAGCTGTCTACGGACGGGGGCCGGTTAGGGTCAAACCCTTTATGTCAGGAGAACCAAAACATCTCTTTATGCGAGGGCTTGGTGATGGAGATGACAACAGGCCAAACTTAATCAAGACAGTATGAGCAACATATGAAAATACACAAATAATAATTAATAGGAAAATAAACCTTTAATGGATGTCTTCAGAGGGAAATGTTTAAATCACCAAGAATAATCTTCCAAGGCCAATCAGAATCAGACTTTAACGAGATCACACAAGCAGCCCTCGAAAGCATCCATTAAAGCTTTATTAATAATAATAATATTAATAATAATAATGAAAAGTGGGCGTGTACCTGGGGCCGTGGGTGTGTCTCCCTGTGGAGTTGTCACGGGCGACCTGTTATAGCCAAAGGAAGTAAAAAGTGGAAGCAGTGGCTGATGGGAATGTGGTGGTGGAGGAGGCGGTGGAGGCAGGATATGGATCTGATGGAACGTGGTGTCGTTGCCGTTGACTACAGCGTTGGCAGGGGCAACCGTCGCCGGGGGAGCCAGCGGTATCTTTTGAAACTGTTGAGTGCAAATGACTGTGCTGGCCAAACCTGGATAACAGCCACCATGACGACACACACACACACACACACGCACGCACGCACGCACGCACGCACACACGCACGCACACACAACCAGCCAGCATAAACCACCAACACAAAACAAACAGCACAACACAACAGAGTTACACAAGAAAAGAAAGGAGGGAATAACAAAATTAAAAACAAAGACCAAAGTTACGAATCGAACCAAAAGGGGTGGAGGTGGGGGGGTGTTAGTGTGTGTGTGTGTGTGTGGGGGGGGGGGGGGCATGCAGAGGATGTAACATCAGAGGAGGACAGACAAACGGTGGACTAACATGTGGCGATGAAGACGTGGACTGAGCACAACGTGGCGCGTGTCTCATCTGCTGTTCCTCCGTTAGCAACGGGCTAATTCATCCCGTTAGGCTAACTAATGCTTTATTGCACGTTGGCACTTTTAACGCCTTTTTGTTTTGGTGAAAGTCCGATGCGCTGCTTCTGGGTCACAGCAGGGCAGAGATCTTCATCATGACTGGTTTGGATGGGAGTCATCCCACGTTTAAAACTCTCACTTGAACCGTTAAATGCATGGCAGTGGTGCAACTTCAGAGGATTTAGGCTGCCATAAAACACCACAGAAGAAGAAGAACCATAGGAAGTTACTGTTCTTTAATCTGTAAAACAAGCTAGCTTTTAAACACAAACACGGTCACTGAACACTCCCCCCTCCAGTCAGATGCCTCCTCCGGTCGGCTCACGGGTCCCCGGAAGAACGAAACGATGATGCAAGTCAACGGGGCTAAAAACGCTCTTTTCTAACCCGCCTTACGCCCTAGATCACACACGTTGTACTGCGATGTAAATGGAAAGTTCGACCACGCCAGTCACGTACTTTGAGATTTATCAGCTTGTAAAAGTTCGTATTTAGCACGACTACATCGGCACGGCGAACATGTGACATCACCACATAAGCTCCTCCCCCTAGCGTAGCTGCTACCTACCACATGACCAGATTTATGGAGGTTCTTTCCTCCTGTGGGAAGTTTGCTGAACTTACAGCCCTTTTCCCTCAGTTTCCTCCATGTCTGGTTCGATGACGTCACTTTCGTGAAGCGCGTTTGTAGTCCTGGACTTATTTTCACACAAAACCTAAAATATCGTTCCCCCCGTTTGAAAACAAGCACATTCTTGGCATCAAAATGTGTCTTTAAAACTCACGGACATCATACGTGAAATCCATGGCACAAAACAAGCGGAATTAGAAAACTGCGTTTTTAGAACACATTTACATAAATTCATTTTTTCGTTCTTCCGGGGACTCGTGGTCTGTAGGTAGATGGGCGGGGCTTAGGCCATGCCCCCCTGATACTGGAACCCACATTTCAGAGTAAACGAGAGAGCACTAAACACCAGTAGCCATCTTGTACATTCTTTTGCGGGGGTTAAATGGAACTCTAAAAAATGCTTGATTTATATTTTTTTAAATCGGCACTTAGTTTTAGCATCACTTCGCGGTTGTACGGTCTTCCGGTGTGACCTTCCGGTTACTAAACACAACAAATGCATTTGTTCTGCAGCTGTATAAATACAGTTGTATGGTATCTTGACTCATGACGGGGAAGGCTGTTGTTGGTTTAGCTTCCAGGAAACAGCAGAGAACGTCTCAGCTAGTAGAAGCTAACCATTAGCATTAGCAACGTCACCACACAGAAAAACTCCTCCAGGCTTGTGTTGTTTTGTGGAGATAAAACATCAACGATGCAAGTCCATGGTAGAGTCATGTAACTGTTATCCAATCAGAGGAGAGGTGTCTAAATATCTGACCTAAGTGATTCCGAGTGATTTTCTCCAGAAGACTGCTGAAAAGGCATTCGTTCCTGCCGGAGACCACAGCAACACCTTTAAGAACCCTGTGCATTTTTACATTTTTGGTTAAATTTATTGGGAATTTTGCGGTTTTATCTTTATTGCAGAAAGGAAAAACAAATCACACGTGTGATCCAATCTTCTTTGAAGGATATTTACTATTTTGTAGTTTGTTCACTTACTTAGATTTTGTTAGTAAAAGTCATCATTCAGGAACTAAATGGCTTCTCTCTATGCTTCAGAAACAGACTGGCCTGGGCATCTTTCTCAGCTGAACATGCATCGGAGTTAACAGGCAGCAAATGAAAAGGAATGCCGGTATGGAAATATACTGCCTGTTGATTTGATTTTCACCACTATTACTGCTCCATTACATTTTTTACCATATTTCCAAAGCAAAGGAAATATATAACGGTTCATCTAATAATTTCATTACTGTGAATAATTAGGCATGAGCAGGACCCCCCCACCCCACCCCCTGGTGCAGACTGGGGGGGTCCAAACTTGCCAAATGATTTGGTGCTATATAAATAATCTGAACTGAATAAAAAATAAAAGGTAAGATTTACGAGGAAGGAACAGCTGACGGCAGCGACACAAGCAAACATAAACAACATGGACACACAGGTAAAACACCTTTCTGTGCTGCAGAATGAAACTGGTGGACAGGATGGATCTGAATGTAGGAAGCTAAACTAAACAGTGAGGCGAAGATTAAGGACACCAGTCTCATCTAGTGTCATAATCAAAGGCTAGTTAGGCTAGCTTAGCTCTCTGGAAATCATTAAAAAAGCATCAACTGGGTCAGAAGGTCCTGCTGTCAAATCAAATCCCTATGTTGTAATTAGTAACTGTGTCAACACACACACACACACACACACACACACACACACACACACACACACACACACACACACACACACACACACACACACAGGTTCAAATCCACGGTCGAGTCAAACTAAGATTTTAAAAATGGGACCCAATGCCCCCCCCCCCCGCGCTTTGGTATTACGGGATTCGATCGGGGTGTGAAGTGAGCCACTAAATGGTTGCTGAGGGCGGTTGTCTGCAGCTCGCCGCTCCCCGGGGGGATGGGACAAACGTGGAGACCAAACTTTACACACCAGACAACTAACGGGACTAAGTTTTATATCTATATTAGGGTGGAAATTTTACGCGTTATTATTATGTTTATGTTTATGTATTTAGCAGACGCTTTTGTCCAAAGCGACTTACAAGTGATAATTGGCATGTTGCCCTTGAGGCTAACAACAACAACAATAACAACAACAGCAGAGATAGTGTGGTTGTCCGGTGGAAATGACAGATAGAGCTGGGTGTCGTCTGCATAGCAGTGGTAGGAGAAGCCATGTGATCGAATGATCTCACCCAGTGAGGTGGTGTATATGGCAAAGAGAAGAGGTCCTAGTACAGAGCCCTGGGGGACTCCTGTGGCAAGATGGTGCACGGTAGAGGATTGTCCAAGCCAAGATACACTGAATGATCGTCCTGTGAGGTACGATTCAAACCAGGCGTGTGCTTTCTCTGTGATGCCCATGGTAGAGCGTGTGGACAAAAGGAAGCCATGGCTGACAGTGTCACATGCAGCCGATAAGTCGAGCAGGATAAGCGCTGAGGATTTGGCAGTTGCTCTAGCTTCTTTTAAGGATTCAGTCACTGCTAACAGAGCAGTTTCAGTGGAGTGGCCCTTTTTGAACCCAGATTGGTAAGGGTCAAGCAGACAGTTTTGAGAGAGGTATTCTGTGATCTGCTTGAAAGCCACCCTTTCAATGATTTTGGACAGAAAAGGGAGGAGAGAGATAGGTCGGTAGTTCTCCACATGATTTGGAGGAAGAGATGTTTTTTTTAGCAGCGGTTTAACCTGAGCATGCTTGAGAGAGGTGGGAAATGTACCGGATGTCAGTGAAGCGTTGATCACATGTGTGACTGCTGCGGCTACTGTAGGAGCAATAGCTTGGAGCAGCTTAGTTGGAATAGGGTCAAGTGGGCATGTAGTAGGGCGGCTGCACGTGAGAAGCTTGGACACACAGTTCTCAGTGAGAGGGGAACAAGAGGAAAATGAAGCAGTAGGGCCTGAGATGGTTGGGCCAGAAGGAGTTTGTGGTAGCGAATGTTCAGGAGTGGCCAGTAGAGTAAACTGTTTTCTTATCGCTGCCACTTTGTCAGAGTTCATTAGAGGAAAATAAAGCATCAATAAAAATTCATGCATTTAATCACACCTTGCAAGGCAGAACCTGCATAACTGCCAGGTCTCCTGATTACACTGATGCACACTTGAGATGGTCACTAAACGGACGAAGCTGAAGAAAGCCTTGCTTGGACTGATGCAGCATTTGAGAAGACAGCCTCTTCTCTTAACTTGTAAACTAAACAAACCTGAAAACCACGACGTCCGTGACACGGTTATCTCAGAGGTCACTTCTTAACTCTGCTGCTGGCGGCGCTTTTTCATTCATCTGCACATCTGGGAGCTTTAAAGACGCGTGGCAAACACGAGGTAAGAAAAACAGTTAATATTGTAACGTTTGTGCAGCAGTGGAAGCACCCGACGGGATGCGTGTTTTATTAAAGTCTTCCTAACAAACCAGGACAGAAGCTCCAGTTGCATCTTTCACTACCTCATACGTTCAGTCACAACCTCAACCAGCGTGGTAGTGTGTTGTTTTCTACCACTAGGGGGCACTACAGGTAGTTTTACACCACTTCTTCCTGACTGTCGCTAGTTAAAAAACATTACAGTAAATGTTACCTGTGCAGCAGAAAGCATGCAACCTTGGCATGACTCTTTGATGATCCTTCAGGTAATTCCATGAGAAAATGCAAAGCTGATTGTAGTTTTCAGGCGCTGTACTTCTCGGGGGCTTGCGCCTGCCGATGACGTCATCATACTACGGCAATACTGCTCGGCCAAACTATATTGCATTTCTTTTTCGATTCTGTTCTTTCACGTATTGGAAAGATTTTATTAAATTTGTGTTTCTTTCTGCCTTAATGTTTCTGAACGTGGTAACGTAACTTCTGTAAGTCGTACATCCCGCCAATCATCTAGAGCACATGTGTCAGACCTAAGGCCTGCGGGCCACATCTGGCATGACTCTGTGGCTGCTGTAGTTGTTATTTTTCCTCCCGACACACAA